GCCCCGCGTCCGGCCGGGCTGGCGGCCCCGTCATCGGGCTGCGCTCTGGCCTGGCATGGGGAAAGCTGGGCCCCTGCAACGCTGAACTGAGAGAGCCGTGGGCCTCTGGGAAGGTGAAGGGATTTCCAGCACTTCTGCTATACTGTGGGTGTTTGAAGCTGCGTGGAGAAGAGCTGTTTTTCCTGGTGCTAAACCTGCTTTTACTAGACTGTGGAAGGGAGTAGTGTATATTTTCTGTGAGGCTCTTCTTGAGCTTTAGGAACAAAACTCACGGATCACGGTGAGCACTCCTGTTGATTCTTGGAACAAAAATTTTTTTAGTAGATCAATAGTCTGGATCTTCTCATCAGCAAGAAAATGCTGATCACTTCAACAAATGGTGATGAAATGGTTTCAGTTTTGCAGAACAAAAAGCCACAAGCCTCTCAAGCCATTTTTAAGAGCAGGTTGAAGGGGTGGTGAAGCATGACTGGAAAATCCAGTAAGGCTGGCTCTTGATTTGGCATCCACTTTCAGTTGCTGTATTGACTTAAAACTCTAGAGTGGAAGATGATGTTTACTTAAGCTCAGTGACATTAAGCCCACTAATATCTTTTCCTTTTTTGTGCCTTTGCAGGGGAAGAAGTTCAACTTTGGGAAAATTCTCTTCAGCAACACCACCATTTTCCTGAGATGTAAGTGGTTACGGGGGATTAACCTGCTCTCTCTGCTGTTTAACACCCTCTACTTGAACGTTAGGGACTCAAAACACTGAAGTGTTTAATTGCACTGTTGCATTGACAGCTAATCTAGCACTGGATGAAAGCCATAGTTCTGATATGGTTGGGTGTGTTAACAGCCTTGAAGCTTCCCAGTTGTGATCTGTTTAGGCAATACCAGAAATGAATGGTTCTGTTCAGGCCCTCTGTGGAGAGGGTAAGATGGGCAACTGGAGTACCACTTCATTTCAGATGGTGGGTAATCAGGTGTGGGGTGTGCTGAGCCCTACTGTGAGGTGTGCTTTCCCTGTTTAAGGTATGCTAAGTTCCTCCAGTTGAGAGATCTGATGCTGGCTGAGGCAGAGGCTGTTTGTATTGCAGTGTGACTGAGGCCAGTGTGCAGTGCTTTTTTGGGGCCCTGTTCCTTTTTAGCTGGGTGCTTCTGGGAAGTGGTAAGGGAACGTTGGAATGTTGTTGCACACTATGGCAGAGCTCTCCTGAGAGCTGTTTTCTTCTCCTGATCACAGTGTCCGAGTGTGCTACAGAGCAAACATGTTTGCAGCCTTCTTGCTTGTTCTCTCTGTTTATTGCTCCTTACTGATCTGGCCAGGGCTGTGGGTTATGTAGGTTACTGCTCAAAGGAGAGTTTCTGTAAAATACCCTCTTACCTGTAAACATGAGGACAGCATTTAGATGACAATGAGATGATCTAGGTGATTTGTGGAAGCGACTAGCTGATTTAGAGAGGCTTGAAATCTTTCTCATGTGCTTTGAGCATGTTAAGGGGTTGTTTGCACCAGTTCCTACCATGGTGAGGAAGAAGCTGTTTGATCTCCAGCTGCTAACTGAGTAGTTACACAGGTACAGTGCCAGTGAATGCCTTTCTGCACTTGTGTCAAATGAGGCATAAAAGTCACTTTAGAGACAATTAATGGAATCTGTGCCTTTGTCACTTCAAGGCTCTTTTTTTTTTAAGTAAGAAAATTAAGGTATCATGAGGATTAGCTGATGTTTCTTTATGAAATTGCATATTACTGTGCTCGATTATGTTTAGTACTTACCTTATTGTTTTTCAGATTTAATATCAGATACCTGCCCTTCTCAAGACAGTGTTTCAAAGGGAGTCTTTGCCTCCTTTAATCCCGTGTGAATCTGAAATAGGAAGCTGGTATTAAAGCAGTTATTAGTGAAGGTCCATCATGTCAGGAGTAAGGTTTTCCCACTTACCAGGTGTTGCTCAAATGCTGAGTTTTGTGGTTTGCGGTGTGACAATTGCAAGTGTGCAGCTGCAGCATCAAAATGTAGAAATCTGATACTTGGGGAAAAGGAGAGTGGGTTTGAAAGGGCATTTGGAGCTTTGGTAGGTGTTAGGCTTTCTTGTCTAAAGCTTAATAGAAATAGTGTACTCATACTAACGTGGCATCTAAGATGTGAGTCTCTGCAGTGAAGTGTGTGGTAAGTCTAATCATGAGGTGTACAGCTGAAATAACCAAGAGCAGGAAGGAAGTAAGGCACGGAAAAAAATAAAATCTGTTTGTTAGAAGATGGGTTTGTGGCAGATCTGGCAGTAAGAATTTGATCTCCTGGCTCCTGATGTGGACTTAAACTATGCTATGCTGTCAGCCTTTAAACAGGCTTAAAATTCTTCAGTGAAGACACCTGTTTTACATACCAGTGTGATTAAAAGATTTACATAAATTTAGATAATGAATCACTGAAAGAAGAAGGAACAAAGGCTAGGAACTTAATTTCAGTTTCTTGGGCTAGATGATACTTAAACTGCATCTGATACCGAGAAGCTTCAGCTTTACATATTGCTGCTTTTCTACCTGTGTCTGTGTGAAAACTGGGCTCTCTTGTTTCCCGTCTGTTGCCTCTTCCATCTGCTCTGTGATGTTTGTGTGAACAATATGATCCTTTCTTGCCAAACGTGATTGTTCACAGGGAGTTCATGTTTTCGATGAGCGCCTGCATCTCCTCCTCTACCTCCTCATCCTTTTTCTTTCTCCTTCTTGATTATTTTTTTTGTGTGTGTGTGTGTGATGTATTGGTGTCTGATGCTTTCTGCTTCTGACTGGGAAGACTGCCACTGGTGTTTAGTATTGTCAATAATGAATTTATTTTGACCTCCTACTTTTCTAAGTGCTGTTCTAGAAGATACCTGGTTTCCTGTCTAGGATCATGGTAGGAATCCTACTCTCTGTAGATGAGTACAAAGACTGCGTTTGAGTTGAATATTGCTGGTTTTGTTTGAAGGCTAAGGAACTTAGATTTCCATGTTGCTGAATTGAGTAAATGCCATGGATGCCTTTTCTGTCTTTAAGAGTACTTTCTTTCTGTAGTTTTGATGTTTGCAGATATTGGTGGATTGTTCTAGTTGTGGTCTGTTTTGCCTTTAATTGGTGTTACTGCTGAACATAGGGTTTAAATAATCTTACTTATTTTTAATAGGTAAAAAAGTATTTGGAAGGAATTTTTGAACCTGTCTTATTTTCTGATAGCACTTTTTTGCAATGTTCCTCATTTGATCAATGTTATCAGAAGAGCCTTTGTCTTCTAAGAATTTGCCATCTACCCATGTTGCTGCACTGCTTGTGTTGCCTCTTCGTTTTTTTTTTTGTTGTGCTCTCTGCAACATCTAGGTGTATGTGGAGAGTGTACGCCTTGTTTTCACGCTTACCAGGAGGTGTCATAAGGGAACTCTTATTTTTCAGTGATTGCATTCCAGTCTTTTTTTTTTTTTCTTTTTTAATCTTTAGTGTTAGAGACTCAGTTGTTGAGTTTTTAGCCCTCCATATACTTGCTTTAATAGTCATGTGGTTTAAAGTGGGGTTACTTAAGACTCCATGGAAGAGTCTTATTTCTCGTTGCATTTTTTACCTGCAGTGGTCAGTATAGAAACATTCATTGAAAGCTCTGTACATGTAACAAGTTTGTGGGTGTCTAGTCTGAGGTGAATATCGCCTGTGAAGGTGGGGGGGACTTCTTAGCCACCAGAAACTTGCTGTCAACTCCAAAAAGTTTTGCCTGGCAAACCCAAACATAATCATCTAAATGGCTCTTCCGGGACTCTGAATAATCACTGCCCATTTTGTTTAGAGGTGAAGTGTTCTTAATGTCAAATTCTATTCATCAGGCTTTAGTTTCCAAATGAGGTTTGAAACACCAAAATCACTCAGTCTTTCTGGGGGAGGGAGGGGAGTCTTGTGTTTCACTTTTCATGCATGTTGTTCTCTAATAAATCAAAGCAGGAAGTTGTCTTATTGCTGTTTTAGATAGCAGTGCAGCTTTGACAGAGTGAGTTAATGTATGGATGGTTTGTTTGTCTTTTGGGAGTCAGGATGGGTGTTGACTTGCAAAACTGGTGATAGTATTGGTATATTTAAATTATCTGTGCAAATTGCCTTTAGTATTACCCTGTTCCTAGCTCTCTCTGCCTGCTATGTCCCCCTATATCTGGGAAAGGGAAATCCTTTTGTGTTTTGTAATCACCAGTAGTCACTGCTGTTCTCCTTTTGTTTGGTATTTGCACTTGCTGAAATATCCCTGATTATCTTGAGAACAAAGTTTCCAAATGATCTTCAGCTCTTTATTAGAATTGTGTAACATAATGGAATTTTTTTTTCCACATGCTTCTTTGTTTCACCGAACAGTAATGGATTACTTGAGGAAAAAGCTTTTCTATTGTTTTGCTTTTAGTTTTATGTTTAAAATAAATGTCATAATGGTAGTTTGGCACAGTGGTGTGGTGGTGGTAGAGGGTGTCTTACATGTTCTTATGGTTATTTTTGTTGGTTTTTTTTTAGTTGAAGGGGATGAAAAAAGTTGTGATCCCTCTCAAAGTTACAATGTTACTTGGTATTTAAGATATTCTGACTGCTACAATGAAGTCTTCAACTTTGGGGTAAGAATTGTGTGGAAAACATGGGTTATGATTTTTAGGGGTAGGCATACCTGGGGGTGAGGGTATTGGAGATGTCTCACTTGCATCCTCATTACTCTTTGGGCCTAAAAGACACACTTTTCCATGGAAGATAACTGATTTCTGGATCACTGGGAATGGAATTAAAAGAAACTGATCCACAGCTTGCTGGAATTACTGACTTTTCCTGGCTTTTGGGTAACGTCAAAGTGTTTGTCAGAATTCTTCAAAACCCAGAAGCTTAAAAAAGTACATTGAATCTAAACGGATGCATGTGGGTTTGTCGTAGATGAAAATATTATTTACATCCATGCTTAATGACAGCAAATAGAAAAAATTAAATGTTTTAATGTCTGGTCTAAATTCTGTTCTTGTACACTGCAAGTATTAGTGATTTATACAAAATGTATAACATTTCTATCAAATGTGGTAGAACACAACTGTGGTTTATACTGTGTAACACCTTTTCCATGTTTACTTAAAATATTATTTATGACAGTTGTAACTACTAACCTAACACAGTACTGAGGTCTTTAGTCTTTAATTTATAATGTAGAGTTTGTTCTGTAGACTGAAGTTTATGCTGCTGCACCTCTACTGTAGGAATACTGGAATTACTTTTTTTTTAATTAAGTATTAATTCTTACTTGAAGCCTGTATGGGGTTTTTTTGCCTTTTTTATTTTTCTGAGGAAGAATAGTCTTGTGTGATTCTGATAGCCTTTATCCTGTTAAATTCTGTTGAAGAGGGTGTGCAGATGGTGCTCTCTAGGTCTTGCAGCTGCCTGCAGAGATAAACCATTTGATATATTAGATGCTAACCGAAGTTCTGTTCTATGTTTGGCAGGATGAACAGGCAGAGTACTATTTTGGGGCTACATCTGAAGAGCATCCGGGTTGGTCAGGATACTATGCCACGGCTTCTCTCCTCTTTCCAAATTGCTCTGAGCTCTTCAGGCCTCAGGTATGGGTAGAAACTTCTTCACAGTTTGCTCTGTTCTCTCATAGAACATACAGAGAACGTGGTGGTTCCTGTTAGATGTGTTAGCATCCCATGCAAGTATCACTGCAGGTTGGGAGGTACTTGTTTTTGTATGTTTATGACAACCAAACTGCAATGATGATTCCTTAAGTGTGCTTTACTTCTGGCTTGCTATTCAACATGTGGCCCACTATGAGGGGGAAAAAAAAAACCCAAACCACTGTAAATTACCGTGCTTCTTTTTGTTTGTGGTTCTGTATTCTGAATTTGTTTCATTTATAGAAGACTGCTGGTAGTTGAGAAGAAGTGTGAATCTCTGGCAGCAGAGCGAAGCTCCCACTAAATTTGGGTTGATGAAGGACTGGCATTGCTCAGATAATGTTCATTTATAATAATGGAAAGGGAAGAGTGTTGAGAAATGGGTTATTTACGCACTGATAGTAGGTTAAAAATGAGAAATAAGTAGTGCTAAAATGTGCAAATAGGGGTGAGAAGACAATGCAAAACAGTGTAGTTTTGAAGTAATATGCAGACATCGGCTCTATCACCATATCACCAGGTGAAGCTGTGCAATTGTATTAATGGCAGTACCAATAGCACGTGCTGTCTTGCTTTAATGCTGCACTTAAGAATTCAAGTTTCATTTATACTATTCAAACTGATGGTATAAATGAAAAAATAGTTGGTTTTTTTTTTTCATAGCAAATTGTGCAGTGTTGCATCTGTAATCAGCCATTCCTGATTTAGACAAAAGGTTGTGGGTAGAGAATACTGGGAAATGTCTCATAACTATTGAACCTAGTATTGTGGGGTTCTTAAAATTTTTGCTTTGTTTTTTAAGAAAAAAGACATGCCTAAAGGTTTGAAAAAAGTTTTTAATAATCTGTTTGCATGCCTCTTAATTCCTTTAATATGTGAAGATGGCTTCAAAGGTTTTTTTAAAAAATAATCTGCATGCTGCCTGCTTTTTATGTTTAATAATATGAGAAGTGTCGGTTCTACTTGGATTTATAGCAGAGATCTTGTGGGTTTAGCTGTGTAGTGTGAACTCGGGCATCTTAAATTAATGTTCAAGTTGGTGAAACGAGTTTTAAAAGTCCTTAAGTGACTTTTCCTCCAATTCATTTGGGAAATCTACTAAAATTTAAACAAAAGATACTCCTCTCAGATATTAATTTCTGAAGTTTCACAGACTTTTCTCCTTTTGATCATTCAGCTTTTTTACTTGTGGCATAGCAGTTTCACTAGATTTCAAGTCAACGTAGTTTTCAAGAATGGCAAAATCTGGATTGCTAATAGGGACCTTTTTTTTTCACAGAGTAAGGCAGGATTCTCCAAATCCTATTTCTGTCTGTGTAGACTTCATCTAGTAATGGAGATAGCCAACAGATTCATATTTGGAAAATAAAATTAACTTCACCACTGTCATGTCTAGGGGTGAAGTTCTAAAAATAGCCACATGTCTGGGAGGAGGAAAAGGAACTCTCAAATGACAAAATAATAATCTAAGTATTCAAGACTCCCTCCACAAATGAGCAGTTGTTTGATTTAGAAAAATTAAAGCTCTTTAATACAGCTGTTCAGAGAATCCTTCTTTATAATCAGGTTTACTGAAAGCTATTACAGTTATGTTTATATAAAGTGCCTATAAATGGTGTACTTTTCATATATCTTGCAGATTTTCTATAAAGAATTTGTTCATCCCGAGCCTCTCTCACCTGAGAAACAAGAGGTAAATTTTTGTTTTCCTCCTAATAAAAGACTGTAGGCGTGGAAGACATAGTTTGGGTATATTGATTTATCTATTTTTCTGTTTTTCTTTAAGGGCTTAAAAGATAAGAAGGAGAGTGGAGGAAATCACACAATGGTGGCAGATAAAACTGTATGTATATTTAATTTAAATGTGGCTTGGAATCCAGCAGTCTTGTGGTGTGTTTTTTTTTTTTAATTTATATTTTTTGTATAAGAAATTACTGGTAGCATTTACAGGGATGGTCCAATTCTATTTTTTTTGACACCTGGGGTTTTTTTTTAGCTTGAAACTAGGTAGCATTGTGTGGAAAAACAGAAAAACTGTAATAGAAATAGAGTAACTACCTGTTCTATATGTGAAATGTAGAACTCATACCATTCCAACTGATGGTATAAATGAAAAAATAGATTTTTTTTTTTTTCATAGCAAATTAATCTTTGATATCTGTTTTAAGTGGCAGCTAATACTTGGAGATTAGATTTGGTTTCATCTTTAACTATTCAGTCTTCTAAAACATTGTACTTAACAAGTTGAGTGATTATTTTTGATTTTCAAATCAGTTAGTATTTTTTTATATATTATGTTCAAGCCTTAACCAGGAATAATTGTCAAAATAACTTCAAATTGAATGTCCTGGATGCCAACAAAGAAAATGTATTCAACTCCCTGTGTACTTACAGGGCCATTTACCTTAAAGCTAAAACCTAAATAGCTGTGTGTGCAATTGTGAAATAAGGAATTAATGCAGCAAGAGATGGAGATATTCTAAATGCAGAATTGGTGTATAAAAAATATATCAATTTTCTTTTAAGTTTACCATGTTTTTAACTAAGTCTTTTATTTTCAGTCAGTATCAGCATAAACTTTTTTTTTGATACATAAAATTGTGTTGGCTTTAGGTCTTGTAGTCAGGAGGTTTCTTAAAAGAAGTGCATGCTCTTAATATTGAAATTCTCTTGGAGAGGCCATTATAAAAAAAAAAGTCTTTGTGGTAGTTCTGCAGTGGTCATGTGAGTGGCATACATGTAGATAGTTTTAGTTTTAATCGTAAAGTTCTTCGTAAATATTGCAGTTTCTGAGATGGCTAGAACTTCTTCAGTTGTGGAATTTAACAGTTTTGTATGCTGGAACTCAAAGAAATCTCTGATTTCTTTTAGAGTGCAAATATTTATCTGGGCAGGCTTCCTCTGTTAGTTCATTGGCAGCGTTTGAGAGCTGTTGCAGGGGCAGTAGTACTTTCCACAGGAAATTACTGCTATGGAAATTTGTTACTTCTCAGCTATCTCTTATATTTTACACTATAAAATTCAATCTTCATTAGGGAGCTGAGTAATATGTAGTTGTTCTGCTGCCAAACAATTCATTTTGGGAAGAAAGAACTAGCTCTGTGATGGTCCTAATGTTTCTAGACTGAAAACAAGGAATAGGATGCTTTGCTGAATTCTCTGTAGCTTTTGTGGTACCTTTGAGATCACTCTTGCTGTAAGCCAGTATTAAATTTGCAAATAAGCCCTGACCACCCCCCAGGTCTTTGAGAATTCTCCTGGATTCAAACAACTAAATTTAAAGTATTATTGTCTAAAAAATAGTTTTAAAATTTATGTATCAAATATTTATTAACAAGTTTTAGGCCTGGGAAGAGGTGGACTTTATTTTTACATGAAGATGACATCCATGTATGGCGAGTCTACTTCTGTCTTTTTGAGTATGCATTAGCTACATGTAAACACTTTATTTTCAGGCAATGAATGCTGTTATCAAAACTTGGCGAGATGGACCGTATATATTTATTGTGCAAACTGGAATTACAACTGCAAAGGATTCTACTACTAGAGCTAAAAGAATGGAGAAACCAACACCGTCCTCTAATCAAAACAAGCCTTTTACAAGTAAGATAACTGTTTATACAGCAAGCTAAATCTATAGTGCCATTTCTTATGTATACCAGTTTGAGTGTATTCTAAGGTACTTTTAATACATACTGTATGGTTCATTTTCATAAGACTATCTTTTACTTCATGTAGGTGTAAGTATTACCTACTACAACTCTCTTATAAGAAATAGATGATTCACATTAATAAGCTCAAATCATGTAGAATACAATGATCATAATTGTCACCTTGAAATTACAGTATATAGCATATCCAACAGTGCATTGATAACCTATCCAAACTTTAGAGAAGTTTGAAAATCCCCTTAAAATGTTAACTTATGTGGTTTTTTGAACTTCCCTGTTACACATGAATCACCAGCACAAATTACTCTAAGTACTGCCATGAGTTACTTGGTAACAGAGCATGTATTGCATGCTTTTAGCCGAGTTCGATTAAAGTGCAAGTTAGATTTAAAAGCTATGGGGAAATTTGGAATTTCTTTATGCTGGAGTAAAAATCAGTTAAGTACTTTATCCTGGCTTCCTCCTTTTGGTTCTTCTTCAATTTGGTTATTGGAATGTCTTTTAACAGTGACAGTAGAACTGAAGGGGCCATATGAGTATCTCTCACTTGCAGACTATCCTCTGATGATTGTAAGTAAAACAGCTACTTTGACCTATAAAGTTGCCGGTTGATTTGAATCTTAATTAAATACTCTCCTTCCATACTTTAGGAAACACAAAGCCAGTGTCTCAGGAAGAAATAATTTAGCAGAGGATATTTTTTTGTTTGGTGGGGCTTTTTTTTTTGTGTGTGTGTGTGTGGTTTTTGTGGGATTTTGTTGTTTGTTTTTTTTAACTGAATACAGGGTAGGGAAAACAGACATAGATTTCAGATGTTTGCATATGTTACTTATGTCCTTCTCTGGATTGTTTTACTTGATGCCTGCCAATTTGTAGTTCCAGAAGTTATCAGTATCATTACCTCTAAACTGGGCAGTTTTACTGATGGTGTTTTTCTCCTTAGCTCATATTTTAGAAAATTTTATGTTCTATGCTTTTGTTCACAGCTACCCTTTTGTTTGTCACTGCTTTCTTTGTTCTTTTACAGCTTAATCTTCCTTCCTCCGCCAGCTGTCTTAGACCCCATGAGGAGGTCCTTAATACTGCCTAACAGTGAAAGCATCATTGAACTACAAAGAGCTAATTCCCTTTTTATTCAAAGGAGTTGTTGACTTGGTTGCTAGTTGCTCCGGTGGAGGAGGCTAAGAAAATAAAAGAACTTAAATATTTATGTAGTGTAGACAGACTTTAGCTGGGGATAAACAACAAGTAAGGTCTCTAGCCTGACTGCATTGGCAAGAGTGGTCTGCAAATAGGAGAGCCTGACAGAAGTAAAAAGCCTCCAGTAGTTCTGTTGACATGTAATTCACTAGTGTGAATATCCCCGTGTGGCAGGTCCAGAAGGTGGTCTCTGTCTAGATGTTTCTGTAACAGAGCATCTGTAGTTGAACTAGCATGCCTAGGTCCTTACCGTGTGAATTCGTGGATTAGTCAGATGTGAAAATCTGTAAGGGTCAGTAAACTGTTCTCCTAAGGAAGTTGTTTCCAGTTTGTGAAAGTTTCAGTGGATTGTGCAGCTGACTTCAATGCTTGCTTGGTTTAAAAAAACCTCCTGCAAGAGGAGACTGCTTGATTTGTCTGATACTTCGGCTAAGTACTTCTTGCTATTCATTTAATGTCTTACTCTATCCTTCTTACCCCTCTTCTTAATCTCAATGTCCTTTTTAAAAACTTAACTTGCTCTGGTATAGTGCTGTCATTTGGAAAATCCAGCACTGAGTAGTGTTTTCAAGCTTCTTGTTTGCCATAGGACACATGTACCCTGAAAGTTCTTCTGAAGCAAGTAACACTGGACTGAAAAAAAAAATAAATCACAAAATGATAATATATAAATGAACATCTGTGTTTCTCTTTCAATTCCAGATTTTTGTCTGACCTAAAGCTTGTTCAAAAACTGAGTTTGGTGGCAATTAACTTTTGAGATAAGTTATTATTTGAACAGAGGGATTACAACCATCAGTTGCTTATCTCTGTTATGTGGAATGGTGTGTAAAGGTGACTTGTAGGTTTATTTGCAGGGTACTCTTGAGTGTACAGTGAAGTTAGTAACAATAATATGTGAGAAGGGACAGGGTTTCTAATACTTGATGATTTGCCTGAGCTCTTATCTGAGTTCTCGAAAGCTAGTAGCACTTGATATCTTCCTTGCCTGTGAATAAATTGGCAGACTGCTTTTCAGGAGAGATACTGCTCAGAAATTCAATTACTCTGATTCCCTTTGCTGGCAGTGATAACTTAGGCTATCACTGTAAAAGAATCCAGAGAAGACAAATGAAGCAATGCTTGTTTCTAGTCACTTTTGTGTAGTTGCTATACTAGGGGAGAAAATGGAGCTGTCTCTCAGCTGTGGAATAGAAACAAGAAAATTATTTTTCTGGGTCTGACATTCCTATTTCTTGCTTCTTTTTGTGTAATAGTTTTTCATGGTGATGTGTATTGTGTACGTATTCTTCGGGGTTCTGTGGCTTGCGTGGTCAGCCTGTTATTGGCGGGATCTCCTGAGGATCCAGTTCTGGATTGGTGCTGTTATCTTCCTGGGAATGCTGGAGAAAGCAGTTTTCTATGCAGAGTTCCAGAATATCCGCTACACAGGGGAATCTGGTAGGTAGCAGTTGCAGCTTGCAGTTTAATTCATGGGGCATAGCACTAAAGGCTTATGCTAAACTGGGGTGACATGCATATTAAGGATATGACTACTTGAGGATTGTTTCAAAACAAAGAACAGAACTAGAGTTTCTGCATTTTTGTAATGTATTGTAAATATGATGATCTGTGCTCTCCTAAAGCTAAAATGCTATTGCTTTTCTGATCCTGAGCACAGTGTCTTAGGGATGTAAGATGCTAGATTCTGGACAGTGTTCACTGTAAACGCTGGCTTGAAGCTTAAAATAGGACTTCTTAAGTGTAGCTTGTAATTAATTTCTGACAATTGGTATTGGCCTTGGAAAGAGACTTTGAAACTCGTTATTCAACTTGACAGCATTGCAGATTACTTTTGGTATTTAGCCCATAGCCTGATAATCCATTTTAAGCTATTCTCTCCACATAAAACTTTGGAACTCTGTTTTTCAGTTTTTAGGATGCATATAAATGAAACCCTGCAAGTAAAACTTCATTATAACTTTGTTAATTGGCCACACCCATGGTACAGAAGGTTTTGTTGTTTGACTTGTTTGAAAGATCATCCAGGCTGATCTTATGGATAAATGTTTTATGGATCATTTACTGTCTACTTTCTATGGATGTAAAATTTGTCAGTAGCTTTTTTTATGCTGTGACCTACATTTTCTGAACGCTTACTCCAGATGTAGGTAGTAACAAGTTTATACACTTGAATAGTCTGCTTTCTGAAAATAATTACATCTACTTTCATACTACGATTGCATGCAGTAGTTAATAAAACAGAAATTATATTTTACTAACCTAGCTTCCTCCTCTTTGCTTTTGGTAGTTCAAGGAGCAGTAATACTGGCAGAACTGCTTTCTGCTGTGAAGCGCTCATTGGCTCGAACTCTGGTTATCATAGTCAGCCTGGGATATGGGATAGTCAAGTGAGTAATTCTGTTCCAGGTTTGCTGTGTGTTCTATTAAAAGGCTTTTCACTGTTGGTTTTTAATAACTTAGGGCAGTATTCATCTCCCTGTACTTTGCTACTTAAAAAGTAGGTGCTTTAGTTAAATGCTGTAAAGGTCTAGACTTCAGTAGTCAACAGAGACATACAATTTCATATGGTGGTTACTCTTCTTCCCACCCCTTTCTGTGTACCATCGTTGGGTAGGTTTCTGAGTCACTGTTGAGATACTCCATTGACTGGAATGGGAGCTGTATATGCCTTCCTTCTGGGCAAGGAGGAGCTTCTGAAAATGGGGGAGGTAAAGAATCACTGACAGGGGAGAGGGATCTGCTTTAGGAAGCCTCTGCTGCCCAGACTGCTGCTCTCTCTGTCTGCTCTGCAGTCTGTCCCCAGCTTTATTCAATGGTAAAACAATGTGCTGTGTGGTACTGGAAGCTTCTAGCAAGTGTGGGTGTGCTGGGGGTGCTGAAAGTAGAGATGGGCTGAGACTTCTTGAAATGGTTGGGAAAAGCTAAACAGGTTAACTAGGAAACAGAACTGTTACCAGTCTCTTCCTTAGTCACATCATACCATAAGACAAAATAAATAGTAAGTTTCGAGCACCATAATAAAATTATTTCTGGATCTAGAAGTGCTTGTCACAAGGACCTCTTATTCACATGCTTCATGCCTTGTGTTAGACTTAAGTTGACATCACATCACTTTTTTTTTTTTCCCTACTTAATCTTAATTTCACTTTGTTTTCCTACAGGCCTCGCCTTGGAGTTACTCTTCACAAAGTAGTTATGGCTGGAGCCCTTTATCTATTATTTTCTGGCATGGAAGGTGTTCTTCGAGTCACAGGGGTCAGTAATAATTGCTTGAATTTTCCTGTATGTTACAGATGCTACTGGCTTTATTTACTTATTTGCTAAGGGAGAATCCCAGGGCTAATCTGAAAGAAGGAACAGAGACAATGAAGTGGTTAAACTCTGTGACTGCAGATAAAGATTATTGACAGTTATTTTAAGTTTGGTGTCTTCTCTATTTAATCAGAATGTAATTCTGATTAATTTATTTTGAAATAATTCTAATAGTTTTCTCATTAGTCAGGTTTCAGACACTGTATTCTGCCTGGACATTTGTGTCTGATACTTTGGATTAGGTAGGGCTAGTTGCAGACACAAACATACAGCTTGGGTCATCTGTCTATGAGTCTAAAAGAAAAAGGAAAAAAAAAAACCCAACAATAAACCCCTCCTGACCCCACCCCCCAAAATAACCAAACCAAACAAAAAAACTCCAAAAAAACCCCAAACCAAACAAAAAAACCCACGAACAAACCCACCACCACTCAGTTTGGGAGGCTGCACCTGGGGAAGTGCGTGTGAGTGGTGCTGCTACTTACTTCGTTAAGAAGTGTGTTTCAGGATGTAGACTTCTGTTGTTCTGTTGTTCTTTGGTATTTTGGGATAAGGTATTTAACATCTCATATATTTGGTACTTTTTCAGTTTTTCTATGACACTGTGGCTCTGATAGCAAACTTGGCCCTGTCCATGATTGATGCCTGTATTATTTTGTGGATATCCTTTCATAAACTGCAGAGTGTTAAATGGTTATTCAGAGCTTATTATTTCTGCCTAACACTTAAAAGGAATAAAAGGTGATTTGCTTGTTTCAGTCAGGACTTTGATAGTTTTTGATGTACACACAAAGGCAGTTTTTGTCACTTTCAGTGACACTTTCATGGTTGCCAGTGGAGCCTTCAGTTCGTCTATGGACAGTGTAAAAGATTTAATTACTACATCTCTAACAAGCTGTTTGCTAGTTTTCTGTAACGGAAGTGGCCAGAGCACATTGTCACAGCAGTTGCCTTAAGCAGAGGCTCCTTTTAATGGTGGTAGATTGACTTAAGTTGGAAAACTACTTCTTGCCTTGCTGTTGGAAATCTGAGAACTGACAATGTGGGATTGTCAGTTCCCCTCTGTGCACTGGGCTAAACTCTTGGTTCAAGCCCTCTGCTTCTGTAGTAAAACTCAGAAGCATTGTAGTAGAGTATTTGTGGTTTCTCATAATATACCCTGATCCTCCTCACTTCTTCTGTACCTTGTTTCCTTTTCAGTTTGTTCTTACTGGCTCTCTCTTTGTCTCCAGGCCCAGAATGATCTTGCCTCCTTGGCTTTTATTCCCCTGGCTTTCCTAGATACTGCCCTGTGCTGGTGGATATCCTTCACTATTTTACTTTGTGGGGTGTGTTTTCTTTCAAATTTGTTTTTTTGGGGAGTCTTTTTGCCTGGACTTTTTTTTTTTTTTTTTTTAAATCAGCTTCAAGTAATATTCTTTCTACTTCTGGTAGAAGATAATAGAACCTCTGTAATTGAGTACAGGTAAATGTCTGCTACAGCCAATGCAAGGAAAGCTAGGTAACCAGTAGATAACCTGTGTTAGAGCAGCTCCTGAATATAGACTAGTTAAGTCTGTCTGATTGTTGAAATATGAAATTAATTTGTTCTAGTGTAGCGCTGTAACAGTACCATAGTAGTAGCCTTTGGAGAACAGACTCAGTTTGTATTTTGGGGAGAACCTTTCTTAGCAACATTAAACCTAAAATTCTGTAAAATTTGAACTAATCTTGAAGTAGTTAGGTGATAGAATGGGGCAGGGTTAACTTTTTGGTGTCTTGACATATTGCATCCAAACAACTATAATCTTGTGTGACTTTAGCAAGTGCTGTCAAATGCTGAACTCAAAGCCATGTATAGCAAAATCTCTGTAAAGTGTTTTTAGTGGAAGTCAATCACAAAACTCTCTTTAAAATATGAATAGCTTGGTGCCCAGCTATGACAACCCCAATTCTCTACTACCGTGACGTCTCTCCCAAGCACTTGTTTTGTCAATATGGAAATAAAATTGTAGACAAAAGGGTGAAGATATATGTATGCACTGTCTAATTGGATTTTAACTCGCTTCTAGTTCAGACTTGATTTTCCATTTATCAGAAGTACAACTAATGTTTTTCTGGAGGAATAGGCCATAGTCCAAAATAGATGCATGGATACCATCTTTGTGTGACAAGAGTTCTAGGTTTAGATGACTAAATAACATGAAAGGGATGGATCCTGCTTTTGGCAACTTTGCCATGGAATGAACTTTTCTTCTACTGAGTCTGGTCTACCTTTTTGGAGGGCTAAGTGTGTGAGTGGGAGAGCTGTTGATCATAAGAGCTATGTCACCCTAAGTCTGTGACCAGCTTGTGCTTTCAAAGGCTTTCCTTGACTTTCCATACATATTCATCAGCTTAACTCAAACAATGAAACTGCTAAAACTTCGAAGGAACATTGTGAAACTCTCTTTGTATCGGCACTTCACCAACACACTCATCTTGGCAGTAGCAGGTAAGCAGAAAATTAATCAAATATGAGCACTTGCCGTTTCCATACCATGTATGGCTTGATTTGATCACTAAAGCAGATTTTTGAGTTTGGTGACCTTTCTGTAAATGCAGTCAAAGTGCTTGGTGTGTCTAATACTTGACCCATGTCTAATAGTGAGTCTATGGCAGGTGTTATGTTGATATGCCAGAGGCAGTGGATTATTAGTCCTGATGTTGATAAGGTCAGTAGTTCTAAGCAGCTTCTCTAACAGAGCACTTTTGTCCCTCTTAAAGCTGCTGGGGGCAAAAGATTATTATCCTATGCTGTTAACATCACAGAGGTGGTTTTTTGCCAAAATCACAGTATCACTGTGTACTATGGGATTTTAAAAATGTCTGAAGACCAGATAACCGGAGATCAGAGTGATTCTTGGAAAAACAGTATTCTTAATATTGTAACTTCTTAATCTTGTAGCATCTTCCCTCTATTCTGGAAGAATACAGATTCAGATTGTCTTTCCATTTGTCATAGTGATGAACTGAACTTCAAGAATAAATCTGTTGGTGCTTCCAGGTGTTCAGCTCCTTGGCTATTTGGAAATGCTATCCATACATTGAGCAGAAAACTTCTAAGGACTGTGCTTTTTTATTTAAACAAACAAAAAAGCGCATTCCTTTTAATCGACATCTCTGATTAAATTCCTTTCAGCATCTGTCTCTTAGTCATCATAGAACACCTTAGTGGAGGGAAATCTCATCTTCTAAAACTGTGGTGGGAGCATATTTTGAGCATTGGAACTCTTATGGGTCAAGATTTGAATGCCTAGGCATTCAGGAAGATCAGATGGGTCATTTCCTTTAGAGTAGGCTTTGTCTGTCCACTGATAATGAAACCATGCTTTGAAGGCTAGATGAAAGTAATGTAAGAATAATGAATAGAGGTGAGGTTGGGTAAATACTTGATTTATGCATTGTGTCTCTGAAGAACCAAGAGCTAAATATACTGGTCTGTGGCTAAATTACTGTATAAGGTCAGTGCAATAAATCAATCTCTTGTTTTCCAAAACTCATAAATTTGATTCTACGAATTCACCATTTAGGTCTTTGCCCTTAGTTTAGGAAACACAGTCCTGTTGGTAGTATATTTGGATTAGCATATTTTGTAGTAATAAGCAGCTTGTTTGCTTTAACATTGCAGCATCTATTGTATTTATCATCTGGACCACCATGAAGTTCAGGCTGGTGGACTGTCAGTCGGTGAGTTTATTTTGTTCCTGCACTTGCTGCCTCTTGATAAATTTACATTTGGCAGTGTAAGAGGTAAGATTGGGCGTTCTGGAACAGATTTTTCTGTAGATTGTGTCTAGAATAACATACCACATGCTAAAATTCTTAGTGGTGTGGATAACAAGCCTCTCTGTCAGATGCCTGTAGTTCACCCTTGGAAAGAGCTGAGGACACGGAGTCTCTTCACAACTTTCTCTATTTGTGCTGCTGTTTTCCTTGACAGGACTGGCAGGAGCTATGGGTGGATGATGCCATCTGGCGTTTATTGTTTTCAATGATCCTTTTTGTCATCATGATTCTGTGGAGACCATCTGCTAACAACCAAAGGTTCAGCTTTTCTTACCTCTTTCTAAAAATTCTGTTTTTTGGGAATGCTTCTCTATCAAAAGAAGTACTGGTGTGTGATTTTAGTTGCTGTATACTGATCCATAAAGATACCAAGCAATGTGTTGTAGGAGCTTGAGGAAAAGTAAGTGTAGGAATTCACACAGATAAAATTAAATCTGTTCCTGATCGTGAACATATTTGAAAAGAAGTGACTTAAACTTTTTATTGTGTAGTTTAGCATGGGTCTTAAAAACAATGGACTACGCAGAATAATCAAGTCATGTGACTGTTGAGGTAATGAGTCTCTTGGGTGGCAAGAGATACTATTCTAAGATAGCTTTCATTCTTTCCCTCCTAAAGGTTTGCTTTCTCACCACTGTCTGAAGAGGAGGATGACGATGAGCAGAAAGAGCCAATGTTAAAGGAAAGCTTTGGTAAGAGAAAATTTTTTTTCACCTAACTTCAGTGTTGAACAGACACTTCTGTGAAGGGAGGTCTATTGTTCTCTGGCAAAAAGTTCATTACTGCTGTAAAAGCAGAGTCAGTGCCTCCCTTTTGCCATTGATTTATGCAGTTGTAGAGGAAACATTGGCTTTATGTTTAGTGTTTACATTGCCTGTTTAATTCTGGGGTTTTCAGATGACACTGAACACACTGCTACTGCTGTGGTTGCTTTACCATGTCCACTGGACTTTGTTTTATTAACTCTATAAAGGCATGGGTTTGGATCTAGTCACGATGGCAAGGATCTCTCGGATATTGTTGCTAGGTGGTGGTTTAGTTTGCAGTTCTCTTTTAAAATCTAGTTTAAGGATTTTCATTTATTACCTGTTCTCTGAATCTTCTTCATTTTCCATATTAGGGCCTAGTACAGGAATGTCCAGTGTAAACATATGGATGAATGTGTTTACATATGAATGAAATTCATGCTCTATAACACTAGTTTGCATCTTTCTTGCCACTCCCCTCCTACTATAAAACCCTCTCTCTTCCCAGCCTCCCATCTCCCTCCTGTGTCTATTGTCCTTGTAACACTATTGTTTGTAAGTTGTATAAAAGGTAGTGTGACATATCTGCTGCTCTCTGTCCACAAATCAGTTCTGCTGGGATATATCGGTGCTGTTAGACCTGTTTAGAGCTGAGGAGGATTTGATGAAGTATTCTGAATAAACACTCAACACTTTAACTTATCAACACTTTCACTTCCGGTCTGAACAATTCTAGTTACGTTATCTCAATCTTTTTTTCCTTCTTTTGTCTTCAGAAGGAATGAAAATGAGAAGTACAAAGCAAGAACCAAATGGGAATGTAAAAGCAAACAAAGCTGTGAGTATGCCCTCCCTACCTCAAAGGATACACATCCCTCTCTCTTGTTTAGTTGCCCCTCAGTAGTATCTCACAAACACACAAAGTGTTCAGCCTATAAATGTGAGTTTTCTGTTTCCTTCAGAGTGGCAGTGAGTTAGTATCATATGTTTACAGTACTTCTGAATACAGGTTTTTAATCCAATTTCCTGTAAGTGCAATAGACTCTTTAGAATTCAATCTGTTCTTTAGGAATGTTTGCACAATCCGGTATAGATATAACTATATAATACTATATTCTGATATGAATAATGCATTATTCATAACAACTTTGTCAGGTTGAGAGGGAGGCTGATCCATATTTTAAATAAATTAATTGCCTTCTAATTTTGACATTTGTGATTCATTACTTGAATGAGTGATGTGTGTAGTGTTATGTAGCTACTTAAATAGTTTGAGTGGAACATTTTCAATATATCTGCATTTTTTCCATGTGGTTTGTAAGCAGACGTGGTTTCACATTCAGCTTGGAGGTAGAAAATATGTCTCAGAATCTTTTAAGGGCATTCATGCATACATTTAAAAGTGGAAAGAATCTGTAGGCATTCATTATAATAGCAGTTAATGTTCTTGTCATTAACACTGTTTTTCTCAAAGGTTGGTTGCAACTGTATACTACTTATCTGAGGATAACATGAAAATCAAACTCTTCTGTTTTGGGGATGGGGGCTGTCAGAAAGGGTCAGGTCTCCAACTTTCAAAACAAGTGTGCTTGCATTGTGAATTAGAGTGTTCGTCAGATAGAAATGAGAAATCCTGACAATATAGTTTAACTTTCCTTTGCAAAGTCTAGCTTGTGCATTTTATAATAATTTTTTATCTATAACTTCTAAAGATGATATTCTTTTGTGGGAGACTAAACTAGATTATATAAATAAGTGTCCTGAGGGCCTGTTTTTCCTAGTCAGCATTAGAGTATTACAAAGTTGACAGTAAGTTATAGGTGGGTTTTGGGGCTTTTCCTTTTATCTTGGAATGTGTTTTCTGTAACCCAGCAATCAAGTTGAAGGTGGGTGGTTTGGTGGTGGTTTTTTTTTTTTTTTTTTTTTTTTTTTTTGAACTGGCATTATAAATACATTGTTTTTGTCAAGTAGGCTGAGAAGAAAAAGGCTTGCATGTGACAGTACTTTGGGAAAACTGACTTTTGTTTTCTACGTAACTTCTGTACTTGTAGCAGGAGGATGACCTGAAGTGGGTAGAGGAGAATGTTCCTTCGTCGGTGACAGACGTGTGAGTATTTTTATAGTTACAATAAAAGCAGCTTCCTTGGACGTACGAACACAAATACATTAGAATGCCTTATAACTTGTATGCTACACTTATACAAGCAGATACTGAGTTCAGCCTGGAATTGGCCTCTGACTTCTTAGCATGCTTCTACTTGGCTTTATGCAGTCTATCAGGCTTATGGTTCATGTGACTTGAACACATGCTGACTTAAGGAACACTGTCTCTGACTGTGAAACTACAGGCTAATTTGTTTGCACTTCACTGAAGTTAAAACTAACTAAATAAATCCCAAAACCAAAGAACAAACACACTCTCTTTCTGTTTAGTGCTCTGAAAAGTCCTTTGAGTATCCTGCCGAATGTAGACCACTAAATAATGTTATTTAGTTCTCAACTTTATTTGGGATGTCTGTTGAGTCATTTTTAGGCTTTTGGCAATATAGCCATCTATGTAGGTAGTCAATATCTATTCTGCTTTTAATAACTTTTACATCCTAAAAATGTTGGTGTCTGTGTCTAAATTTTTCATAGCAAAACAGAAGTTCACAGATTACCTAGGTTCACAAATCTGAACAGGTCTTTTTGGCAGAGGCTCTGGATTTAAGTACAAAACTCTGCTTGAAGCTAGTTAAAGGCAAGAAATCAAGTGAAGCCTCAAGAGGATGAAAAAGTGCGTTTTCTCAATTGAATTCATTTTTCCCAGCTCTAGTACCCATTTTTGAAGAATGGTAGGAGTCCTTAAGAAAACAAGGACTAGACTGGTATAAGCTAGGAAAGGGCACTTTGAGGTAGTCTGCCGCAGGGTTTTCTGTTCTTGAAAGTATGATCCGGGGTTGTAAAGAGATGAGATCCCAGTAGATGGAAGGTCTGTTGTGACTGAAAAAGGCTATGGTACCAGCGTAACTGGTTTGATTTCTGGCACATGTTTTTACAATATTGTCCCATATTGTAAATGTCTTCAGTGGAGTTCCACAGTGTTCCCATATGAATGATGCAGCTTATTTCATGACAACTTGGGAATTGTTCAGCTGGTAATGAGAAGCTTAGAAAAAAAGAATTTTAAAACTGTCAGGGTCATCGAGGATACTCCTTGGGCTCTTCCTTTTTTGTATGTCTTTCTCTAATTTCTGTCTGTTTAATGGAAAGATCTAGCTTCATTATTGCTCTCCTATGCCCTAAAAAGCTTAAGGTGCAACATAAGGCTGAAAATAGTTGTCAATAATATGCTCAGTAGGTTCTCTGATTCTCTTAACTATTTTTTTTTTTTTTCCACCACTGCAGTGCTCTTCCAGCTCTTCTGGATTCAGATGAGGTCAGTAAACAAATCTTCAGTTCAAATTAGTCTTCTGACATGCCAAAGGAGTCATGAGTCAGCTGTTAAGGACTTGGCTTATTAGAACTGGACTCTCTGATCTTGCCAGTGCAGCAGTAGAACACTACAAGGAGGGGAAGGATAGTGGGGACAGCCATGATACAACTTCTTAGAATAGACATGCATATTCTAAATGTGTATGTGTGTTTTAAAATAAGCGGTATATCTTCTGTGTAGGTTTGACTCCTGACTTAAAATTGCTACAAGTGTGTTTGCTGTGAATGTGCAAAGCATACCACCTTCTTTCTGAATAATGTAAACCTCCTAGGGGAAATGACAACATTGTGCATTTTATTTTCCAGGAAAGAATGATTACACATTTTGAAAGGTCCAAAATGGAATGAAGGAGTAGCTTTTTGCTACTGGAAGTGGAGACGCCTCTTTTAAAGTTGCTTGGTGGAGCACATGCATCCTGCTGATTTGTTTCTTGATCTCAGCCTTGGAAGTTTGATGCTTTATTGTCATGAGGGCGTCTTGCTGTGGAAGAAGTTCACAAGGACATTATAAACCTTTTGGAAATTTGAATTTACAAAGTTGCTGCAAGTTTGGATTTTTAAGCAATTTAAATGTGTACTATTCCAGCACCTTCTGTAACTTTTCAAATATTTAATCTGTGAAACTAAAATTCCTAATGTCTGCTTGAGGAGTTTATATTTCAATGTTACAACTGACACTTAGAGGTAAACTGCGTGTAGCTTCTTGGGGAAGGGTGGGGACAGATAAAAACAAGCACTGAAAAAACCAACAGACCCATTTACTGGGACATAACAGCTTACTGCTGTTGTCGTGTCATGTGTCCAACACGAATGAGGGGTTTTTAGAGAGAAGCTCCTGTTACTGAAGAAATTTAAGATGCCAGAAAGGAAATATTTGGAAAAGTTACAGTGATATGAGTTTTTAACAAAATCAAGTGCAATTTTATTCATAACACTGTGTAAGAAAGATTTTTCTATTTTAAATGCCATTGACCTATACATAACAGCTGCATAGAGCTAACACGTGCTGTTGTGGCACATCTCATTGCCGGCAATGTGGTGGATGCCTGGATGCTTCCATGTGTTGCATGATTTAATTTAAAAAGAACCAAAACCAAACATCACCAAACCCATTCCTGCAGTGCTCCACAAGTGCTTGACTACTCACGTTAAGCAGATATTAACTATACATTTCAGCAGAATGAATTCTTCTCCCTGCACATTTAACATCTCCCACTGAGAAGTCAGCAGTCTTCTACAAGAAGATGGCATTGCTCTCTAGAGGGTGCAGGCACTGCTTACCTTACTTGAAAGAGGCTGTGATGGGAGTACACAGTGCTGGGATAGTTCTGTTTCCAGTGTCTGTTTAGAATTGCCTCCCATCTAAGTGGACGGTGGACTTTCCTGTCCCAATTGGTCCCTGTGGCCAAGAGGTACTCTAAGATCACTGTGTTTCAGTCAAAGTTGCAGATTTCTAATCTATATAATTGCTTTTTGTTTCTCCTTTTCAAATGAAAAAGAGCTTTTGAACAGTGTTCTGGTTTTATTCTATGCTTGGCTGTAGAGGCTTCACTTGCAATAACTTAAACATGGCAACCCACTGTGGACTGTATGACAAAAGCTCTAATTTGGATTCATAACCTTTACACCTGGTAATTACCAGGCAAGCAGCACCACAGCTGGACTTCTAGGGAGTTGATGTGGCTGCTGCTGGAATGGCATAGGGAGTCAGCTTTTCTGGTTCTTCACTCATAGCTACGTCAGCAGAAGTGAACATGTGCCTGTACTTCATTCATTCCACTGTAAGGTCTGGTAGCTTAGCTGTAGTTCATATTTATCAGCAATTTATGCTGAACCATGGCACTTTACAGTAGAGTAGCTGGGGCACAAGTGCATGGTATCTTCTGCTAGCTGTGCTGCGGGGACAGCAAACCCTCAGCTGATGGGCAGAGGAAAAAAGCTGTGGCTATAACACCTCGGTCTGCCTCTGCAAGAAATGCTGGAGCTCTTCTACCATCCACTTTAGGCCACAGGTAGAATCTTAAATTAGAAAACACTTCTAATTTGGTATGCTTAATTGATATAGATGAAAAAAGTTACCTCCGTGCCCTTTTGGAGAGAGGAAATTTTGTGAAAGCAAGCTACACAAAACTCGATATTTAATTTTTTTAAAGTCCTATTGTTTTGAGTTATTTGGGTTTTTTGAGACAAATAGAGAAAAATGTTCTCTACTGGAAGCACAAAAGAAGTTTGTATGTACTATTTAATAAAAGCTAGGCAAAGAGTAGAAAGGCTTACATTGTGTCCTTCTGCTTTCTTACCACCTGTTCTCTCACAAGAGAAAGTGTTAACCTCTTCATAAAGCTCCCTCACTTTAACTTTTTATTGCGTGGTATTTTTAATGCAGTTATTCCCAATTAGCTCATCTTTTTTCTTGTTAAGTCTGACAATAGTGTGGAAGTCTGTCCCTTGAAAAGCTAGTATAGATAGGGCAAATAAAAAATCTCTGAACAAAAGTGAAAGATCTAAACAGTTTCCCTAATTGCATTCATAGTTTAATAATTTGAAGCCTAAAATAAATGTAGTAGCAGTGTGGTGCTTTCAGCCTACACTGCAGTGGTCTTGGGCAGTCCTCTCTGCCTTCTACCCTTCCACCCCTGTAGGAACTTCCATCAGTGTTTGAGGTTGTCCTGAATTCCACAGAGGCCTTGTTGCTCCCTTAGAGAGCTGTTCCTCATTTTATTTTCTTCAGGGAAGACTTAATTCAAATTTATACCCATTCTTTCAAAATAGGTATTGTAATTTTAAAACAAAGCGTAAAGGCTACTTGGAAGACTTGATGAGCAGGAAGGACAAAACACATCTACTCTTAGGTCTGAGAGCTGCTTAAGGTTTTAGTGACTATAATGGTGTATAGAAGCTGAATTTTCTTTAGGAAATTTGGCTGCTGACTTCAAGTATCTTCAACAAGCTATTCCCAATTGTGATAATGCTCTACTTGCAAAAGGAAAAAAATTAAAAAAGTCTGCCAGGAATTAAAATATAGAGGGAACTTTTTAAGAGTTACTGTGCCTGATTTTTTCTTGTTTGTGAGAAGTAGCATTGTTGTAGCATATCCATGCCACCCAGAAAACCGAAAACAAAGTAATAGTGATAAAGATTATGATGTTGACCAGCTTTTCATCAGGGTGACAGGATTTTCCTGCTGGGAGCTCCAAAAGAGGGGCTGAGTAGCGCGAGATCACATGGCATGGTAATGAAATGCCACAGGCTTGATAGGCACAGAGTGAGTCAGGGTCATAAGACCTGGTGTAGGGTTGGATGTGTTTGGTCTTATTTCACAGCTGTAGGGGGGTCGTTTTAATCATTTTTTAATTGTTCTGTTCACTTTAAATGGCATTTTATGTTGTATGCTACAGGAAGAGTATGCTACTTCTGTTTTAAAACCTGACGAGGACAATGCCTTGCACTTGATTTGTACTCTGGTAAAAATGGATTACAGCCATTTGCATGTGAAGTAATTATTACCCAGTGTTACTGAAACCTAAATTTCACTAAATTGATGCTGTATTCTTCTTCCTTCTGTAGGATTCCTAGGTCAAGGAGATGGGATACATGCCTGAGCTGTATCTCCTTTGTTAATTTGCAGTTCTAGGTATCTGCAAAGGGGATGTGATTTAGCACTGTTTTGTGCTTTAGCAAGATTTCATTCCTAAGCAGGAGAGAAGTTGGATGCAAGAGTACCACAAGATCTCCCAGCACAGAGCGTCCTCAGTCCCTGTTTTCTGAAACAGTATTCTCTGTTGGTGAAGATGCTGACAGAACTTAGGACTGTGTGCTGCTTTGGTTTGGTTTAGTTGGTTTAGCTTCTAGGTCAGTGGTGGTGAATGTTGTCCCTCTCCACAGCCAATGTAAATGTAACCATGGCCTGTTCTGCAGGGGACACGGTAACAAAGATTTCCTCCTGGAGATTGAACTTCACCTGCCAAGTTCATAGGATGAGTTCATTAAAGTAAAATTTAGGGCCTCTAGAAATAGACATTTACTTGCAAGAGAGGTTTTTCTGTTCTCATCCGGTTTCCATGGGTTACGCCGGTCAGTTTTTGTCTGTGTACAGAAGGACTTCCCCGTGTGCTGTGGTTTTGTGTTAGCAAATGGCAACCGGACACCTCTGCACGTTGTATTGGGAAGACCAAGTGAGTGTCTTACAGCCTGTCCCCTTTCCGGCGGTATGGGGATGCACAGGGTCTATGTCAGGGCGGGGAGAGTCCCCTCAGGGACAGGGA